AAACAGACATATAGAGATATAAAACATGAGGTAGGACAGAGGAACTAGAAAGGACAGAACCCAACCTTTCACTATCTGTTGTTAAGTTAATGTTTTGTTTGCCTTCACACAAAATGTATATACAGTATACATGTCACAAAATCTGCATTTTATTTAGACATATTGAAAAATCGGGTCTAGCTGTGATACAGCGCTTCCTTTCTTAAGCATAGGGTACACTGGACCATCCATTACCGAAAGAAACAGAAAGAAAATGCCATCCCACAATGCTTTGCAGCAGCAACATTTAGCGAGTTTATTTGTAATTTTTTATAAACTTGCCACTCATGTTCATTTTTTATTTGTATCTTATTGTATCTTTAGAATATTTTTAACATGTGTAATGCTTGACAACATTGCTGCTGTGACTCATTTATTGTTATTATTATTATTATGATTATGTATTAACTGTGTGCGTGCGTGCGTGCGTGCGTGCGTGCGTGTGTGTGTGTGTGTGAGTGTGTGAGTGTGTGTGTGTGTGTGTGTGTGTGTGTGTGTGTCTGTCTGTGTCTGTCTGTGTCTGTCTGTCTGTCTGTCTGTCTGTCTGTCTGTCTGTCTGTCTGATTGTTTTCAGAATTTTTTCGGCCGAAACAGCTATCAGGGTCATACCGATACACAGCTTTGGAGAAAGAGTGTTAAAGTGAGCCTGCAGGAGATAGGAGTGAGAGGAGAGGCAGTAGACAGAGACAGATGACTTAGAACTACTACTCAAACTCTGGATGTGTGATGAACTTACTGTTGTGTTTGGTGATTGGTTCTTCACAGGCCTCTGAGTGTAAATCTGTTCCACTGAGATCAAAACAATTGAACACAATGAAACTGCGGACATTTGCATTGCATTTCATTTATCCAGAGAAATCGAAATAAAGCAGAATAAATGTGTATTCTGTCACCGCCAGCATTCAAATGAACGGATAAATCAAGGGCAACAGGGAGTGAAGTAATGCCTACACTAATCAATAGCATTTAGTAATACTGTGAATGAGAAGAGTTAAGATGCTAAGAAAAATATTTAATTAAGGCAAGTAAGCAGGTTAATCACCATCTCCCTTTTGTACTGCTGCAAACATTTACATTTCCCTATTAAGTATACTGTATTTGCTGTATGCATGTAGTGTACATCGCAGGGCTGGAGTACACATATTTAAATACTGTATTAGTACGATTCAGAGAGGGAAATATTGTACATGTTACCCCATTACATTAATTAAGAATAATGTATTCTTCAGATTCACATTAATAATATGAAATACAAACAACCAGGTTCATAATACTGCAATGCAAAGGCTGCCAGGAGTGGTGCTCAGTCACCATTGTCCTAGCATACATAGATATGGACATAACATACACATGTTTAAGAAAATTATATTATTATAACTATTAAAGATCTGAGTACTTCTTCCACCTGGAGTATATACTTTTACTGAAATCAAGAAGGGCTTTTTAGGTTTGCTGTTGTAAATCACTAATCTGTTGACTAGATGGTCCTAAAAGTCCTACAAATCAGCGTCCAACTTCAAATCTGTAATAATGTTCTCTTAAGGTTGATAGCTCCATCGCTAAAGTGAAAGAGTAATTTCTTACAGCTGATGTCAGAGTTGGTCCTCTCTGCCTGGTTGTGTTTGTTGATGGACTGGATTCTTCTCAAAGATCCAGGCAGCGCCATCTTAAACCAACAAGAAAACATGGGTCATTCTATCAGGGTCTATCATGTCAGGTAGGAGAGGGAGGGGAGTCTGTTAGACAACCTGACAAAAAAGCACATTTTAAAACGAAACGTTTTTAAGTGTAAAGTTATTAAGTAAATACAAAATAAAAGAGTTGTGGCTGGAATAATACATGAAACATTATTTTTCCTCATCAATAATAAATAAATAAATAAAGGAATCATGATTTATCAGTTATTAATAATAATGTGGTTAAGACCTCCATCTCTTCGTCCTCCGTCCCCAGGCAGGACTTGAGCTTCTCAGGGTTTCTATACTTCTCCAGCAGGTCCAGGGTTAGCTCCCTGTTCAGGCCCTGCTGGGTCAGAAAGCTTTGCTGCAGAGACAGAAGCAGCGAAGGAGGGAGGAAACACAGAGAAAAGTAAGTTATTAGGAGGAAGATCTGGATGATTGTAAAGACCACCCAGACCAGGATGTACATATCCCTGTATGTGTTCTGCTACACGTGTGAAAAAAAAAAGAATTCAATTTGAAATCTTAATTTAAACGTGGGAAATATTTATTTTCGATAGCGGTATTGACAGCAGGGAATGCCAAAAATAAAAGCAGTGGCCCTGTGTCGAACAGTTCAAACAGAGTTCACTTTTGGAGAAATATATATAACATCACACTGGGGTGGCCAAGTCATAACCAGCAAACATACCTTTCCAGAAATACACAATACTGCCATGAGTTAGTACAAAGACGTTAATCGTACATTGGCTTAGAGGGTTAGACAACTTTGTTGTGCGCGACGATTCTTTGTGTTTGCGTCCACCTGATGAATGTAAGTCCAATATGATCTATTTTAGATCAGCTTTTGGACTCTACCAGAGGGGAAACATTAGGAACTGTATCTGCTAAATGCTCCACTTTGTTCCCCAGCTAGTCTTTAGCAACTAGGGCTGTATTGAGTTTTTCAAGCCGTTTCCTCAAATAGGACACTGTGAGAGCATCAAGAGCCTTCAAGTTAGAAATCTCAGAAAGAAACAGCAATTACAGGGAACTATCATTCCATGCAGGTTCATCACTACGAACAACTCTTTTCCCATTTTCATTTGACATTTTGTTATAATATCCACAATTATTGTTTACTTCTTTAAACTGACAGCTACATGAATGACAAATGAGTTAATGTGATGCACAGCTGACACTATATAACCAGAGCAGGAGCAGATGTTAGCGGTACTGACTGTGAGCATCTTGGAGGCGCTGGGTCTCTTCCTTGGGTTCCTCACCAACATGGACTTTACAAAGTTATAAAACATGGAGGACCTGCAGACAGGAGATAAGTTAGTAGCATTTTGTATCGTGGAATTATGAAACACAGATATAATGTAATGATACAGATAAATCCAAGGCCAGGAAGTTACATTTGATAGACAATAATCATTGGCCCCTATGATTTCATCACTGAATGTAATGTGTTATTGTTTTGTATTTACCATTTAGACTTGTCCTTGAGTTTAGGAGGCTGGTACCCACTCTTTGACATGAGAAACAGGACCCTGCGGAGCGGGGGGGGGGGCATAGTCAACGGAATCTGTGTTAGCTTAACCATCTGCATAATGTGACATGTTGCATAACTTTGTTAGCTGAACCAATAACAGCTGAGTGTTTTGTGTTTTCTGCTTCACAAAAGTACATTTGCCATTCGAGTATTCGAGTATAAAGGAGCAGAACGTGGAAATACTTAAAGTACAAGTAGCTCAAATTGTTTTTTAACCTTTTTGAGCAAATGTAATTTGTTAGAGTCCACAACTGGTCAGCCCAATGAAGAGGATTCTTTACTATTTATGTGAGTGTTTGTGTGTCTTTAGGTGCAGAAGTGTACACATGCTCGGAGAGGTGTGTGTTGCAGTGTGTATTCACCGCAGTGGATGGACATCAAACATTGGCGGCTGCAGCTCTGCCAGCTCGATGGCTGTGATGCCCACCGACCAGATGTCACACAGTTCATTGTAGCCGCCTTTAATCTCCACTGCTGCTACCTCTGGCGCCATCCTGAGCACAGGAGGGAAACAGCAACACAATATATCAGCACCACAGAAACCAGCTAAATGGTGTGAAAGTTCAATTATATGGTAGCTAATATAATGACAACATTTGTATCGGAAAAAGTATTACTAGTATTTCAAAATAATGACTAGGTATTTCAAAATTAGTAGTGGGTGCTGTATTTTTAGATCTATGTAAAGCATTCTATATTCGTTTATCATGATGTTTTAATTTAAAAACTCTAAATGTAACAAAGTTATGTGTTGAAGTCTGTTGTGCACTGTTCAGAATCTTGAAGTGCACAATGGGTGTTCCACAAGGGTCAGTGTTAGGCCCACTGTTATTTAGACATTATATCAATGATCTCCTTCAACAGTGATATAGAATTGCAAATGTATGCAGATGACACTGTTGTATTTATAGATACAAAAACAGCTGACGTTTTATTTCATCACAGTTGAGAGGATTGAAATAGTCTCTGATTTTTGATATATTGATGTGATACTGGATATAAAGGAGGAAACATGTACAAATAATGGTCAAAACCACGAAAAGAAAACACTGTAATATTCAATTATCTAAGGCTATAATCTCGTGTAGTGCATCAAATTGTGACATTTTTGTTTTGAACTATACATGTTCCCTTTTTTTTCAATATAAAAAAATAACTATAATAATGACTAGGTATCTCAAGATCCTGAGTTAGCATGGCAAAATCAATGGACCTATGATATGCTTAATCTTTCTGTCAGGCAGAGCTGCTCTTTTATCAAACTCCAGTCGAGTGAAAACAGCAGGAGGGGAAAGACGATGAAGCTGATTATAAAGTGAAACAATTATGATACTACCCACAGCCACTTGCAGTTATATACTCAGATTCATGTGTTTAAGGGACGTGATCCGTTTTGACCTCACCAATATGGCGTCCCTATGAAAGACATCCGCCGAGCCAGCGTGGCAGTGATCTGAGCCGAGATCCCAAAGTCAGCTACACAATAGGGAAACAAAAGTATTAATGATAATTACGACAAGAAATTACATTTAACAAGATATATTTAAGAGAATCTTCAGGTGCTCTTTCAAAACATTTTGTAGGCTTTGAAATTAAATGTGTACTGCACAATGCAATTAATCTGTAAAGCACTGACACAGGTCTCAAGTCTAATAGAGTCTTAAAAGAAGGTATATCCAACTATCATTTTTCTTCCTGTCTGGATTTGTAGTGTATTCATGAAAAACCATTACAAATGACCCAAATTCTAAGGATTTCACATGTGAATGAAACAAAGTTTGCAGCTGAATAATAACCACGGTAACAGACGACCAGAAAAATGCATTCTAGAACAGTGAGAGACTGCAGAGGCCCAGTTTAGTCCTGAAGACCCAGCGAGACAGCAGAGACGTGTTTGAGCCATCACTCTGCAGACTGTGACTCATCTTAACCACAGGCAGACACTCAGACATCCACCTACCCAGCTTCACCTCGCCGTGATCGTTCAGGAGGATGTTGGCACCCTGCAGGCAAGAGGTCAACACAAAGATCAACACAGACAGAGGAACAACTCATCGTACAAACACTTTAACCCACTCTGTGATCTTTAGCTGAACCCAGGGTGAAGATCAGAAACCTGTTAGTACAATAAAGGTTCCCCTGACAGGCTGATTGTATTTTCTTAGTACATTTTATTTTATTTCAGCTGCATGACCACAGGTTGAAGGAGTACTGGCTTAATTAAAAGCTTGAGCCTTTAGCACAGATAAAAGACAAGATAAAAAGAAGAATGTATTCAAAGTCAGACATATTTACCTTGATGTCTCTGTGGATTTTTTTCTGTGCATGCAAGTAGTCCAGACCCTGGTGAGATTGTTTTGTGCATCATTTTCAACAGTATGGTCGATTGATAAAAGTAAAACAAAATGTATGAAATACTGAGTGTGATTTTACCTGCAGCATCTCCCTGCAGATGTAGGCGATCTGTGGCTCAGACAGAGGACCAGTCACTGTGGGACACAATTATTAAAATGATAAACTTTCATAATAATTTACACCCTAAACCGTGTGTAGACTGAAGATTATGTGTCCATGGTTTAATGAATAACTCATGTATCATGAGGTCCAGTTTAATGTTCTAAAGTAAAAAGCACAGTACAGTAGAAGTATAACACACACACACACACACACACACACACACACACACACACACACACACACACACACACACACACACACACACACACACACACACACACACACACACACACACACACACACACACACACACACACACACACACACACACACACACACACACACTTTTTCTCACCATGGTAGATATCCTGCAGGGAGCCTCCTCCACAGAACTCCATACAGATCCACAGTTTGTTGGTTCTGCAGAGAGTAGAGGGGTGAGCTTCTGTACCTGAGATATAATAATACACATGAATAACAGAGTGAGAGGGAACAAAGAGAGAGAGCCCACCTTATGTAGCTCCCATAATAAGCCACTATGTTGGGATGTTTGCAGCTTTTCACTATGACGATTTCCTGCTGGATGATGGAGAAATCATCATCTGTGGATCCAGACAGAAGAGATACATATTTATTATGTTCATTTCCATTACAGTTGAACAGAATCTGTGGTTACATTGCTACATGTAGACCACACTTGATGACATCTACCTCCAGTTCCTTTTGAAATGAATGTAGGTGTGTAAAAGCCTCTGGGATTAACTGCAAATGCATCATCATTAAACTGACACAGGGCTCATGACAGTTGACCTTTTAGAGATGTTCTTACTGGACAGTGACTCTACACAAATATGATGATCTTAAAGATGATGATGCATTGCTGCAGATTAAACTACCAACCCGTATATATATATATATATATATATATATATATATATATATACTTCAAATGAGCACAACATTAAACTATGACTGCAGTAAAATGCAAGATACACATTAATGCAGCAGCAGTAATATTAGTTCAAAAACATTTCTTTTCAATGAAACTTGCTGGTAAGACTACTACTGCACTACTTTTATTGGCACAGTCTGGGATTTCTACTTTTACAAAAGTATGAACTCATAAAGAATCTATGATCGTGTTTGCTTGTTGAGAAGAGGCCACATAATGCTCCATAGTTGGACTTCAATTAAGTGTCCCGTCTTAAAACAAGATATTGAAAATGATGTATTCAATATATCTGCATGCCGTCTCATGCAGATGTATTGAATACATCATTTTAGAAAGGCTTAGTCCCCATAGCAGTTAGTGACGGTAATGTTATACCCTGCATTTGTGGTAAGAGATTTTGATAATAATAAACTAGCATAACCAATACAGATTTACCAAGAATCTCTGTGGTGCAGATTTAATAACAAGCAGGTCAACTGAATGAGTCATTGGAGAATCTTGTCTTTGCAATCCAAACTAATTATAATGTCTGGTCTCACAAAGATTGTAATCACACTATAACAGCAATTATAGCTGTCTTTATTGATTCTAACACTTTATAACTCCTGTGATCATAACAATAGAGGCAATCATTGATTTGGATTACAACATGTTTAGAGACTTTCACCAGATGATGACACTTGATAATGTGGTGGAAGAATTGTTCAGATCTTTTACTAAACAAAAAGTGCTGGAACCAAACTATAGAAGCCTGCATGTGACTTCATTGAAGATATGCAGGTATTATTATTACTCATGCATTCAAATACAATTATTTTACCGTAGTAGTTAGTTCAGTCAGACAACTCACGTGTTTCTTTAACATGTTTATTAGAAGCAGCATATAGTTGAGTTTGGCGACTAGGCTCGGGCCTCATCACTCCATAGATATACATAGCACGATGAGTGATGATTAAATAACTAACCCCCCCGAGCCTACAGGTGGAAGCTGGGGTGGAAGCTGGGGTGGTGGTGGGGCAGCAAGCAGCAGCAACGTAGAGGTAGCTGCAACAATAGCAGCAGCAAGCAATGCATGGAGAGAGATCTGGCAGGTTAAATAGAGCGGCATATTAGGAGGACTCTGGTTGGTTGGTTGTAGAGTGGCAAGGGGCGTTATGTATGAGTTAAGTGCTCGAGTTGACTGCCTGAACTAGTTCGCAGGCTTCGCCCCATTTGAGTTGGAGCTCATTTTGAACTATTAACTAATGATTCTTTTCATTATTGAATAAATCTGCCGATACGTTTTTATATGAGAAATTGATTAAAAAATCAAAGTATTGTTTTATGATATTGCAATGTCATATTTTGTATGGAAAAAGCTTCTCAACAAATGTAATGGAGTAAAAACAACATTAATAGTCACTGAAATGTAGTTGCATCAAAAGAAATGACCCCAGATGCGTACTTTAGTACAGTACTTGTCTGATTATGCTAAATATAATAGACTGGAAACATGTGTATTACCGTGTCCACAGGCAATAGGCAGCTATAGGCCTGTGTGGGTCAATGAGGAGATGAAAGTGAAAATGAAGCTTGTTCAGATAAATCCTCACCTGGTTCCATCTTGATGAGTTTGATAGCTGCCAGCTCTCCATTCTGCTTGTTACGGGCCTGAAAACACAAAAACATTAAACACGTTATTATTTTCACAAATACAATTTATATTTATAGAAAAATATTGTTGAGGAGGAGCCGGGAGACTATTCCTACAATTAAAACAGTTTGTCTTTTACCAGACTTCTGCTCCTTGCATCATGTTGAACTTTAGTATAACTAGATTATAATTATTCATGTGTTCGTCATTTCAATGTTGTAACTACAGCAGAAGCTCATTTTAATCGCTTTACATCCTGCTGAGTAGCTTAACCAGTAACATTACATAATCATTTGTTGGTCGATTACAGTTGTATTAATGATCTGACTGCAAAGTAACTGATGACAATCAACTGATGAACAAATGTACAGTAGTTGAGTACAAAGTAAAATATTTGCTTGAAAATGTAGTGTAGGGAAGCATAAAGTAGCACTTTTTGGTAAAACTCCATTTAAACAACTCAAAGTAAAGTAATACGTAGCATCATGCTGTGTTGACAGGACAGTGTAGATCACTAGCAGAGCTTCATCAGCATTTTATCTGTCAACAGTCATCCTACCACATTACACACACACACACACACACACACACACACACACACACACACACACACACACACACACACACACACACACACACACACACACTGACCTTTCAAAGTGTGATACCAGAAAGTGGCGTCACTTCTCTTTGAATATTTACAACATTTATAAAGAGAAACATGAAGATAACTTCCTCTCCCTACCATCTACTCCCACTTTTCTTCAGCACTCCGTTGCAGAAGCATTGTCAGGCAAAAACAGTTCTGTTAAGAGCTATTTACTGAAAAGCAAGCATTCCTCCTAAAAAGCTTCTGTTTTCCGGTAAGATGGAGACTGGACAGGAAGGTCGAGGCTGTGTCAGGGATTGCCTCGTATGCGGAACGGGCTACATTATGAGTTTTGACAGGCACTCACAGTGTGAGTCCTGCCTGGGATTAGAGCATGCGATCGCTGCTCTCAATCCCGGGGTGTCTTGCTCGCATTGTGCCCGTCTCCCGCTGGCCCTCAGACAGCAGAGAGCGGACGCTCTCGCTGCTGCGGCCGCCGAGGACGATTGGCCCGTCCAGGAGGAATACTCCGGGGACAAAGTCCTTGATTTCCTGGATCCGAGTGGAGGGCACGAGTCGGACGACTACGTCCC